GTTGACTGAAGAAGGTTGCTCGACGGTTATAGAAGGTTGCTCGACAGTTATGTTCGGGGGAGGAGAGGTCGAGCGCACAGGTTGGGAGGTGGTGGAGTCAGCAGGCTTAGCACTCGACCCCTCCGCGGCGGTTTTCTTCTTCAGAGGGGCTCTCCTTTTAGGTATGGAAATAGTGGGCATCTCTGCAAAAAACGTACACGCAGGTCATAACTGCAATGAACATATGATGCATAAGACAAATATGGCGATACTCAAGCCTATTTAGTAAAGATGCACACCTGGGTCGCTCTCGATCAGGATAAGATTTAAAGTTTTCTGACTGGGAAGAGGGCAGGATTTATGAGTAAGCAACCCACAAAAATGTAGAAGGTTATCATCCTCCAAAAGGGTCTTCGACGCAACGGGCTTGCTATTCCATACTGCAATCCGCTGGTCGAAGAGGGCGTTGGCAGGAGGCACGGAGTACTCTCGAGGGAGTTCCTTAAGCCAAGGAGATGGGGCCCAAGGAAAAGCAGGTTTGGGCTCGACAAAAGCGAATTTGTGTTTCCAGCGGGGAACGTTTGAAGGGGTATCCGAGATGAAATGGACGTCGTTACGGCCCTTGAGGTAGATCCCCTGAGCGTGTTTCGAAGGAGTATAACAATAATGGAAAAAATCCAGGTCAAACCGACCCAGACGAACGCGACAAAGGATGATGAAGATGGTAATAAATCTGATGGCGTTTGGTGGAAGTTGGTTCAAGGGTAGATCGAACCACTTGCAGAGATCGATCAAATCCTGGCTTAAAGGAAAGCGGATGCCAAGTTTAAATTGAATTTCAAAGAAGGTATAGCAGTTTTCGGGAGGATGGTCGTAAGTGTCTCGTGAGCCGGGGGACAAAAAAGCCCAATTGGTAGGATAGCCATATTCTTCGGCATCCAACCAACCAGCTATGAGGGAGCGAGAAGAAGAAGAGGACCTTTTTGAAGAGACGGGTGCCTTAGCCGACTTACCCTTTTCAGGAGCAGCCGTAGGAGGAGGAGAGACGGGGATAGACGAAGAAGCAGCTCGAGCAAAGATGGAATGGCGAGAAAGAGGAATAGTGTCTTCGTCTTCCTCAGCAGCGGCTTCGGCGGCATCCAGGGCCTCTTCAACAGCGTCGGAAGCCCCGAACGCCGGTCGGCGACGATTCAAGGGGATGTGATCGAGGGCATCCCCATCCGACCCATCAATCGGACGAATAGATTGGTGGGGAGGAGAAGGTGGAGTATAATCAGAAGGGCGTAGAACATTGAGAGGAACAGGATTGTAGATTTCCTCAACGGAGCGGGAAGGCGAATGAGGAATAGGTCGGTGAGCAGGAAAAGACGATGTGCTTGCCCCATCTTCACTGAACTGATGGCTCGGTGCGTTAGAATCAGCGGAATCTGAAAAGAAGAGCAAAAATCGAGGGAAAGAGAAGAGGAATTAGGGTTTCGAAAAGCAAGAGAGGTAGGTTTTATCGGTCGCAAGTGAGGTGAGAAGAATTGGGGAAAAAGGAGAAGCAACAGGAAAATCGAAAAAATTGAGAAAGTAAACACACATAAATGTAAAATTGGAGCGCAGAAGACTTACTCATGGTCGCGGTGAAAAAGCGGTTGCCAGAAAATGCTTGAACAGGTGTTGAGAGCAGGCCAGAGCAATGTGCAGAAGGAAAGTATGGAGCGCAAAGGAGGTTCAAAATCGCGAGGGTGAGAAAAGTCGCAAAAACGACTAAGTGTCGTATTTATAGGAGAACAGTTGAATAAGGTGAAAAGTTGGGAGAATAGGACCGTTAGATAAAAGGAGATCAAACGGCCGAAACAATCAGAGAGGCGCAGATATCGGAGCGGCACAAAGTACGAGAAGACGCGATGATTAAGGGTACAGAGAAGGAAGACATGTGGCAGGCGGAAATCTCGCTAAAAATAAAGAGAGATAAAAAGCGACCATGGCAGGCAATAAAAGGAACCACGCGGTCGAAGAGGGGTAGCAACATCAAATAGAATGATCGAGAGAGGAGACCAGAAGGCGACATCGACAAAAAACAATCGAAAAAATACGTGAAACAAAGAAGATAGCTCGGACTCACTCTTAGATCGAGTCATTTAGACTCGACCAGAGTGGGGGGGGACTAGATGATATGGGATATCATATCACTAAAAGGACAGACCGGCTTATCACGACGGTCAAACCGGCATGAGTAGGAAGAAAACCGCATGGGCTAAAAGATGATCGACCAGAGCAGAAAAGATCGAGCAGAATGGCAGGGCTGGTCGAGGATCGACCTAGCGAAGGGGAGCTCGACCATGTCGAGCGCGTAGTGGGAAGGAGACAGTCGAGAGCGTGACCTGAACGCGAGTAGGCGCGTGGGTGATATTCAGGAATCCCAACGGCCTATGTAAAGGAATATTTCCCCTCAGCGAAAAAGGGGACACGTGGCGAGAACCCAGTGGTGCAGAGTAAAAGTGGCGGTAACCACCTCTGACGTCCTTGACTTTTCTGACAATACGCGTACTGTGTATGTACGGATGGGCAGCGCGGGCAGGACAGCTCACCAAATAGCCGGGCAGCTCTTAGGGCAGGTATCCCACTCCTATATATATAGGGAGTGGGTCTTTTTTAGGGTTTACGATTTATCCATTACTTACTTGGGAAAATTGAACGAAGATATACTGACTTAAGCATCGGAGGCTCTTCACCGGAAAACCCCTCCGGTGTGAGAGTTTTTGTGCAGGAGCGCGGCGTTCTATCGGCGAGGGAGAAGGAGGCGAACCGATTCCGAGCCGGTGGGAGTGTTTTGCGTTACCATAACCATCGTGGATAGTTAATCTAAATGTTACCAATCCCGACAGAATGGTTCCGTAACGGGATTGTAGAATCATCCTATTGTTCGAGCCAATAATACGTGAGGTCGGTGAAAGTTCACAAAAAAAAGTTCTCCTCTTATGAGATCTTATTCTCCCTTGTGAGACTTCTTCTTTCTTTGAGATCCCCGTTCTATTTGTTGGATTCGCCTTTATCTCAATTCGAGTTCTTATGTTATGATCCTCGCTCTCTTTTTTGCATCTTCTTTGTTGGTTGTTAGTTGTTGGTTGTTGTATGTTCTTCTTTTCTATCTTTGGCTAGTGTTTTTTTTTTTCTAGTTTTGCTATCATGTTTAATTTTTAACCTATAAGTGATGTTTTTTGTGGTTCGGCTATTCTCTGGTGGTGTCCCTCGTCTTTTTTCTCTCCTCTTGTTCTAATACTCCTTGTTTTAATAAGCAATAAACCTCTAGATCCAGAAGCATTTTGCCCTAGGGTTAGCGTTTTGGGGGCTTTCTCTTTTGTCACCAAGTATGGAGTAGGATATCACTTCCCAATTCCAGAACTTCGCTCTGTCTGGAAACGAGAAATTAGGTATAGAGCTATCATAACAAGAAATTGCCGCAGGCCTCGAATGCAAAAAGAGTTTAATTAGGAAAAGTTACGTGCAGGGGCGTAGCCAGGAAAATTAATCACCCTGGGCTGATCAACTTGATGAAAAAATTGAAAAAAAAAAGTCTAGCTTACGTGTAAAATGCATGTTTTGCTTTCTTGTTTTATTCTATATTTCTATTTGTTCGATGCAATATAATTGAATATTTTTTTAATGATCTTGATTGATTTACATGTTTTTTTTATTAAATACTTATGAATTTTAGAAAAGTAAAATTTGATTTGAGAATAAAAAAATAAGTAAAGTTTGTTTCAATAATAAAAAAATTGTGAAAAAAAAATATTAATTAAAGAATTTAAATTGACTGATATTTATTATAATTACTACTTGGTGCAATAGTTAAGGCATAAACTGTTTAATCAAAATCTTCTACCAAATTACCTCATGGATTTAGCTCCAAATTTTTCTTTCACATTTTTTTTTCTTATATTTTGATACATCCTTCATTTCTCATATTTTTTTTTGATTTTACTTTTTTTATTAGAATTTTCATTATGTTTTCAACTTTTTCTTGTTTTTTTAGTGCCAATACTAATTTAAAGTGAATTAGTTTTTTGTGGATAATAAAATATTCATAGTTCTTGCACATTGAAATGAGCTTAAAAAAATATTAAATATATTTATTCAAATCCAAAACATAACTAAGAGAGAGAAGCACTATTAATAAATTATCAACTAGGAACTCATATGCTAATATGTAATGGGCTTAGTTAGAATTTACATTAAACTCAAACTCATCTATACATATATAAATGAAACGAGCAAAAAATTACCCAGGGCTGGAGCCCACCCCAGAATATAGGGGGATCCGTCCTTGGTTACGGGGAAAGAAAAACCAATCTCAGTGGACTGAAGGTGACTCTAAGCAGTATTTGACAAACAAAATATCCCTTCTCAATACGGAATGTCGACCACAACTTCTTCCAGTTCATGTTTCAATTAGAAGAAGATAANAAAAAAAAAAAAAACTAAATGCAAAACATGGACATTCGATGGCCAATATTTACTATTAAAGAATTGGAGTCCTGAAGCGTTGGAGTTCTCAGAAGGAGAAGAGAAGATAAAAATTTGGATTGAAGTAGTCAACCTTCCCTTACATTGGATGGTAGCTGAGGCAGTCCTAAAAATAGGCAAACTTCTAGGCAAAGTACTAGACATACAAGTCTGTAGTTCTGGAAGCTCAGTGGGACAAGTGATGAGAATCCAAATCGAGATGCAACTAAAGAACCTTTGCTCAGAGGTTTGAAGATCAAAGTGAGAACTGAAAACAAATGTGTTAACATTAGGTATGAAAATCTCAAAACCTTTTGTTACTGCTGTGACAAAATTGGCCACTAGTGAAAAGAGGACGTGAAATAGTCACATCAATTCACAAAATTTCAACAATTTAATGAGATTTCTATTAATATTTTGTCTTTATAATTTTGTTAAAAAAGTCTAAAAAACAAAAAACCTTTGAATATGATAAGAAAATAACCTTAATAATACATTATTTACGTATTTGATATGCAATAATTATGCCAATTTGCGTAGTTTCGCAATTTTTCACTATCAATTTTTTCCCTTCACTAGCGGGAAATATAAACCAGTTTTGCAGATCTTTTTTGCAGAAAAAAGTTCACAATAATAACATGGAAATGGAGGAGCCGTCGGTATCGCCACCATCGCCGGCGGGAGAAGAAGACGACGAGCACGACTCGAAGGAGAGGGTTCTGCAGCGGTACTTCCTTCAAGAATGGAAGCTCGTCAAGTCCCTCCTCGACGACATCGTTTCAGCTCGCCGGGTCTCCGATCTCTCTGCCGTCCACAAAATCCGATCCATAGTACGCCTGCTTCCCTGACCCGAGTTTCACTTTTTCTCTCGACATTATATATTACGTTTGTGATGGTTAATCACGAGCTACTGAAACCAAATTCACTGAATTTCGTGGGGTCTTTGTTTGTAATGGCTGTTTCTGGAGTTCGTAAAATTAGCTGAATTGTGCGTGAATGTGTTTCTTGAATCTTATTCGTCAAGCTCATGTCTTTCGCGTCTAATTAATGCTGAAGTCTGCATATTGTTCCTGTTTTTGGTGGAAAAATGGGAGCTTTTTTGGGCTTTCAGCGGAACAAGTTGTGAGAGGATAACTCACCACCACCGAGACATCATGTTTCTAACTCAACAATATTGCATATGTATTTGAAAAAACAAAAAATTAAAGCATAACAAAGGAAATGTTATTTTTTTCCTCTTTCGTTCATGCCCGTGTTGGGAATGAACCTTAATTTTCTTTGAAGATTGTTAAGGCTGCCCCGGCTTGAATTACTAATATGATAATTTATCTTACTAGTCTTGCTACAAGAATGGCTTTGGGAGAAATAATAGTTCATATTTGATGGTTGCTTGTGAATGGTTCAAAAAGGTACAGATGCTAAAGGGTGGTTCTTATATTAGTCAGTTAATGTTTGTTTTTCTAGATTGGATTTCTTTAAACATTTTCATGGGGTGGTTTTATTAACTCTCGAGAGCTCTTATTTGCAGATGGATAAGTATCAGGAGCAAGGCCAATTAATAGAGCCTTATCTCGAGAGCATTGTCTCACCTCTGATGGACCTTGTCCGCTCGAGAACCACGGAGTTAGGTGCTTCCTCTGATGAAATTATGGAAGTGATCAAGCCTATATGCATCATAATCTATTCCCTGGTTACTGTTTGTGGATATAAGTCCGTGATCAAGTTTTTCCCCCATCAGGTTTCTGATTTAGAACTTGCAGTATCTCTTTTGGAAAAATGCCAGAACACAAATGCTGCAACATCATTGAGGCAGGAAAGTACTGGAGAGATGGAAACAAAATGCATCATACTTCTTTGGTTGTCCATTCTTGTGTTGATTCCCTTTGATATTTCATCCGTGGACACTAGCATAGCCATTGGCAAACACAGTGGGAAAGATGAGCCTCCTCCGTTGGTCATGCGGATTATAGAATCATGTAAGGGGTATTTGTCGAGTGCAGGTCCTATGCGGACCATAGCTGGATTACTGCTTTCAAAGCTCTTAACACGGCCAGATATGCTGAATGCATTTACCAGGTGGATTTGTTTTAACCAAAGTCAGAAGTTAACTCTAAACAAGTCATGGAGTTTGTTCTTTTGTAACAGTACAGTTAAAAATAATTTCTCTGGACGCTTAAAGCGACAGTGCTTTCATAATTCTCCATAATGCTTTTCAAATGTCAAAATAATTTAGTCTATACTCTTTCTGATTTTCAAATATTTGATGGAGAAATTACATCCAAATGCCTTGATTTCCTGGTTATATACATCCTCTGTTGATGCTTCATCTTGTTTTGGGTATTTGTTCTCTTTCAGCTTCATTCACTGGACACATGAAATTATATCATCTGTGGAAGACAGTGTCGTAGATCACTTCCGATTATTAGGTGTTATTGAGGCTCTTGCTTCCATTTTTAAGGTAATATTTATTCTTTTAATTGACAAAACGTCATTGCTAAACTTGTTTGCAACTGTTTAATAGTTTGTAGAGCTGGATAATTTATGAAAGGTTGAAAGAACCCATATTTGAGTTTAATTTTTCGTGTTCCCCTACTTCTATCTTTGTTCACATCTTTTTCTGTTGACTTTCTTTCCTTCTGTAAGATTACATGAACTAATTCTTAGTCAAGCCATGTACTAAAGTTACCATCTGAAGGCATTAGTTTCTCTAGATGGGGAAGCGCATTCCCAATTCCCTCCTAGTTTACTTCTTTTTAGCCAATTTTGGTTGTCCTTGGTTTGATTTCAGTTGGTTTAATACATCTTTCAATTTGACATATAACCACATGCTTTGATCGTCCAGCATTTNTTTGTCTTGCAGGTCGGTAGAACAGCTATATTGGTGAATGTGGTCGAAGTTCTATGGAATGACACATCACTTTTGATAAAGTCCCGTACTGCTGGTCGTAGTTCCTTACTTCGCAAGTATCTGGTAAAACTCACCCAGCGGATTGGGCTCACCTGCGTGCCTCATCGTACTCCGGCATGGCGCTATGTGGTTAGTAAGCCAAACTTTGTACTTTTATTCTCATATTTCTTATCTGTAATTGCAGATGATTGAAAATAAGTTTTTTAATTTTGCCTTTCTAGTCGCCAAACTCTGACGGGAATATTATAATATCTTATGAATGATTTTCACAGTGCGTAAATTATCTCTTCTTCTCAAGTGGAAACTTCTGGACGAGAAATTGGAGTTTCTATATGATTCTGCGTTACTGACCCATCCATATATTCAAATGTTACAGTTTGTGTATCAAAGGAATGGATTTAGGATCAAATATCTGGTAATGTACCTCCACGAGTTCAGTGTATGAAAAAAAAGGAATATGAAGGTGGAGGAATTTAAGAGGAACCTGAGAAAAATGGTTGGTGATTGAGTTTATTGACAGAGATCCCAAATTTGTGGAAGGATTTAATAACAGGAAACTGAAAAAAGTGTCTTGCTAATGAGTGGTTGATTATCATTTTCATTATCTTTGAAGTAAGAGCGAAAGATATAAATTTCTCCATTATGCTCTCTATAATTCTTGAAAATACCTTCATTTGGAGATATGGAAAAAAAGGGTTATCAGCTTTATTCAATATACAAGATTGCTTTCTAAGGAGATGATGTCCGTTGGTGCCTGAAACTCTTTTTTAGTACAGAACTGAATCAATCCCTTAACAGTACCATTTGAATCAGCTCAATCGTATTCCTTTGCAGCATGGTAATTGTCTCACATTATTACTATATGCCAGTAGGTATTAGGAGCTTTATTTTGTCAATTTATGGTTTTGTTTTGTTTTGTTTTTTGTTCTTTTCCACATGCTCCTCTCTGAGCTTTTCTGTCTATCCATTTCTTCTGTGTAAACTTTAAGTTTGATTCAATGCGAAGAAACTCTTCCAGTTACTAACTTATCCTGTAATTCTAAGCATATTTTCTATCTACGTTGTTATCCTGTAGGGTAGAAACAACACTCTTGGAGAAAATATGTCATCGAATGTGACAAGAGATTGCACCCAAACAAATCACCTGTTAAACGTGAACTCCTGTAATGTCTCTCAAGAAGAAAGCTGCCTTCAAGAGGAAGATATGGATATTCCAGATATTCTAGAAGATATTATTGAGCTGTTGCTTTCAGGATTGCGAGATGCAGTATGTCTAGAAGCATTTTTTTAATTTAAATTCAAATATTTCAACATGAGTTGCATTCTAAGCAGTTGCCTGAAGATAAAAAACTAAACTTTGCAGCATCACATTGTTTTTTATTTTTTATTTTGGACCACTTTCTTGGTGAAAGTTATCTCAAGCTATTTTCTTCATTTGTTTGATTTTTACTTCATTTACTTATGTAGGACACTGTTGTGCGCTGGTCAGCTGCAAAAGGTCTTGGTCGCATTACTTCACGTTTAACTTACTCTCTTTCAGATGAAGTTCTGTCATCTGTATTAGAACTTTTTTCTCCTGGTGAGGTATGCTCCCCAAACCATTTTTTGTGCTTTCCTCTTCTCATTATGGTTTAAAGTTAGGTTTTGGATGTCAACCAAATACTCATTTAGACAGCTTTATCATTTCAGAATAAGTTTGAAGCTCTAAACTATGTTTCAGAAATGTGTACCTCTTGAAAGTTGGTGCTCATGAGTGACTTTTCACTGCTTAATCAAGCATTGTGCCAATCACTATTTGGATGATGTTTCTGTAGATCTTTGTAGTTCACTGCATTTTACTCGGTCATTTTTCTTACATGAAGACGTAATATCAAAATTTAAAAGGACTTTTCAATTGCCTTGATGTCTTTGATAAAATTTTGGTTTCTCCTGTGGAATATCTCAGCAGGCCTAGTTTCTTT